CCCAATATTTCAAAACATACTATGGTGACAGATAGGGAAGCTGCCATTGTGTCTGCAATCGAAGAAATACTTCCAAACTGTGCTTATTTTTTTTGTTGGAATCATATTCAAAGAGACGTTACCTTTTGGATTAGAAAGAGTGGAGGTTCCGAAGACGACGAAAAGGTTTTAACTAACCAAATATGGGATTTGTTAGATTCTAATTCTGAAAAAGAATTGATGGTCAAGTATGAAGATATGAAATTTCATTGGTCTCGTAATTTCTTAAAATATGTGGAAAAAAATCTTCTTTTATGTATCAAACGTAGTTCTAAATATCGATTAATTGATAATATGACGTACCAACCTGGTAGCGGAATAACTATCAATTCGGCCGAAAGTTTTAACGCTGTTTTGAAAAGACTTGTGGACAAAAAAGAAGTAAAATTACAAGTATTGGCACTTGTACTGTATCAATTGGATTTGTTTTACCAAAAAGAAATTWTAAGAGGTTTTYGTAACATTGGCAATTATTCACTAAAAATGTCAAATTTTAACATGAAACAAGATCCGCAGGAAGTTGTATATCCGACAAGTCATTTACCTTTAGATAAACTTCCCTATATTTTTTTGAATAAAGATTTTACCATGACTAAACCTTTATCAGATGAGGAAATGCCATTTACCAATTACGCATTGGCAAAAATGTTGATGTTGCAAGGGCGTGTAAAGCTTTTTGCAGAGGATCAAGTTTTTATCATTTCTGGTGAAAAGAAAAAAGAAATGGTAAAATTATATCCCGTAGAAAGTTGCACATGTCCTGCTCGTCAAAAATGTCATCACATTACAGCAACAAAATTATCTATAGGCATAGACGACCAAAAACATAAAAATGTTCAATTATCAAAGTTAATAAATCGAAAACGAGGTTACCGTAGCGGAAGGAAAAAACCGCAAAAAATTACAGTTGTTGAGTCAGCTGAAGATTCCAAAGTCGAAAAAAATGGAAATTTTAATGTTACGGTAATGATACCAACTGTTGTTGGGAAAAACAAGTGGTTAAGAAAAGGTTTTTCGTCCCCTTTGCTACTTCTACGCCAAAAAAGAATGTAACTCAACAACCAACCTCTAGTTTTTCACAATATTCTTTGGATGGTCTTGAAAATTGTCAAACCACATCAAACCAAATCAAACAGTTTTCACCACCTGGTAATAAGGATTCTTATTCAAAAAATGATTCTGATCTAGAATCTGATATATACAATACATATTCGGAAAATTTTAAGAAAAACAAAGCATTTAATATTTTTGGGAGAACAATTTATCCAAACCATCTAAATTCATTAGTGCCGAAATCAGCGGAAAATGTGAGAGATTATTATCTTATTGATAGTATTTTGGAAGTCTATTTGCCAATACTATGTTTTGAATATAAACAACAGCTACAAACTGTTACAGTGTTTCCGGTAGACACTTACCTATGTAACGAACTGTGCACGTTCCAAGATGGAATGGCAATATTTTTGTCCTATGGAATTCCCGATTTTGACGTTGTTGCAATTCCTGTTATTTTATATGAACATTTTACCATTTTCCTCATTTTCCAAAARCAAAAAGTCATTTTGTATTTAGATAGTTTAAGAGGTCAAGTTCCAATTTCTTTATTACAAAAWTTTTTTAAGTTATATCATGGCTACAGTGTTATGAGAAACACRAATTTCAATGTGCAAGATTGGAAAGTGTTTGCACCAAAGGATACACCTCGTCAAACGAACAGCTACGATTGTGGCATTTACTGTTGTGCCTTTTTTGAAACCCTTGTACGAAAAGACTGCAAATTTTTGGATTTTATTTTAAATGATACTTACTCGTACCGAAAAAATAYTATGCACTCGATAAAAAAACATATGGAATGTTTAGATGTGCATCCACCTAAGCGAAAAGCTTATAATAAAAAAAAGTTAGCAATGATCACTGAATCAGATATTTCGATTAAAGACATTGTATTTGACACCCCGCAGAATTATCAAAGCCTRGGAGCTTTTTTGGAAACTGCTATAGATTTATGTATGTAAACTTATTTTACTTTTTGTATTTATTTTAATTACAARTTTTAATAACAAAAATTTTATTTTTATTTATTTGTTTATTTATTTGTATTAGTAAACGGCGAACCAAAAAAACTTATGTATGTTAGTTACTTCTAATAGCGAAACGCAGCGTGATCCAAAATTCACTCCCTACAGAAAATAAATGGATGTCGTCGATAAGAAGCATATAAGAAACATACAAAAAATTGTATTTTCATAGTATAGTATAGTAAGAAATATTAGATTGGTTAACTGTTGATTTAAAAAAAACAACTTAGTTATTTAAGATTCTTGAAAATTCCTTTTTGTTTATTT